CCCAGGGCAGCTGAGAAGCAAGCTCTGGGCGGCCGCAGCCACGCTTCCTTCCCTGAGTACCCTGCAACCCTGGGGCCCGCCAGCAACAACTGGCATGCAGCCAGGGAGGCCCGGAAGCAGGTACGGTGGTCTTGGTCTTGGGGCTAAGACACCAGGCCCCCTCCAAGCTTTGGGTCCCAAGGCTGCTCCCCCACCGTGTGACACCTCCCCCCCCCCACCATATGACCCACCCCACCCTCACTCATCATTCCACACACCTCCTGGCCTTCATCCACCGCACCATCTGCTGAGGGCTGGCTTCCTGGGAGCTGAGGACCCAGATCGTTCCAGAAATCCAGATCCCTGCTCTTACCACCTGTGTAACAGCTTCCTCACACCCATCTCCCCATTCCCACCTCCAAGGGGGTCCTTTTACCCCCCAGTAGCCCGGGGGCTCCCACCCCGACTTCCCCACAATGTCCCAAGTTCTAGCACCTGCCTCCACCCCCACCCCTGGATTCGGTTCTCATCACAGCCGTCAGAGGGCCCAGCCAGGACCCCCACCCCACTTCCGCCAGCCCAGGGGTTGATCCACACACCAGAGAGCCAACTTTCTAGACTTTGTGGGCCAGCCATCCTCAGCGGCACCAAAGAAGCTGCAGACAATAGTGACCAAGGCTGTGTGCCAGCACAGCTTTAGTGGTGAACGCAGAAACTGGAACAGCCTAGCGTTTTCACGTAACAGCCAGTCTTAGCTCACGAGATGTACAAAATCAGGCAGTGGCTGGGCTTGGTTAGCTGAGCTCAAGCAGGACAGCTTACCACACCTGTCACATCTCGGAGAATGGGGATTTCAGAGCCTCACCTGCTGCCTCAGTCCCATAGATGGGAGGGCTGCCCCAGGGGAAGACTTGCTGAAGTCACCTCAGTGGCAGACGTAGTGCCTAGAGCCGGTTGTTCTTTCAAGTCCCACAAAGGGGAAGCCGCCCTTGTCTTCGACAGACCTTGTCTTGTTTTAGAAACAGTCTCTGAAGAACGAGGAGGCCCTTCCCCAGAGACGAGGCCCGGCCTACTTCACGCAGCTGCCCCCGCTCAAGCTCTCAGGTGCCACCAAGCTGTCCTACTCCAGCCCCACGTTGCAGTCCACCTTAGCACATGGAGTCCCCGGCAAGGTGTTGCAGACCTTGAAGTGCGGCCAGGCCAACAAGAAGGTATTGCTGCTCTCCGACCTTCCGGGCTCCTGGCCTGTCCCAGCCTCCGCTGAGCACCTCTCACCATTTCTTTTTGACAGACAGAGACCCAGAAGGACGTGAAGCCCACCGTGAAGCCGTACCGATTGCCTACGATAGAGAGACGATAAGAGAGCACACGTTCTCCCGTCCTCAAAAAGTAAACCAAGGCTGCACCACAATGGCTGGAGAACCTTTGGCTCTGCTCCCTAGAGAGATGCAGGCAAAGGCCGGGCCACCTTCCCACCACCTGCAACCCCAGCACAGGGGCTTTGCCTTTGCAGCCGGCCAGCCTGGAGCAAGCCTGAGCTGTGTCCTGCGTGCCATGAGCCTGAAACCTGGCCGGGGTGGACCTGGAGGGGTGCAGAAACAGACAGAGGGCTGCTGGGCTCGGCGTCCGCATGCTTCGTGCTTGGTGTCAGTGGTCCCCGTAGCATTGAGGGGGACATCAGTGCACTTTCCTGTCCACTGAGGGAGCTATTGGTTTTTATTAAAGATGAATCTACCGTTACGGTAACTGCTGTGTGGTTTTTGGAGCTGGACACGCATCCTTGTCTTGTTCCTTTGGGTCATGCTTGGGCGAGTGTATTAGGGTGACTGCTGGTGGACATGGGAAGACTGGCTTAAACTAGTTTTGCTGGAAAGCCCAGAACAGTCAGCAGACAGCCCAGAAAAGCACTAACACAGGCTCGCAGTGGGCTGGTGAGAGGGGCCAGGTGGCTGGTGTTGGTCCCGCCTTTCCCTCATGGGTTTGGGACCATTTTCTGTCTGCGGATCCCCACATGAAAACACCGTTTCTCGGAGGATGGGTAGCGAGAAGGTGTCCTGAGTGGGTTGGAGAGCGTGGGGTTGCCAGCCTGTGGTGAAGAAAACGTGCCCGGTCACGGCCCTTGTTGTCTTAGAACACAACCTGCTAATTGTGTGTTCCTCCTTCTCAGCTTCTCAAGCCTCAATTTTTAAATTTTCTTTTGTATCAGTAGGGGGTTTTTCTCGGGTTCATTTTGGTCTCCTTGTTCTTTCCTTTATGACAAACCTGTGGACGACACCCTGGCATGTGTCTTCAGGGGTCCTACCTGTGGACCCACATGACCACTGGCCGAAGTACCAGGAGTGATGGGCCAGGCAGGGTAGAGTGTGAGGCTGCAGAGCGCCACCAGGACAGTGGTGGTCACTCGTGGACAGGGTTGGGGGAGTGCCCCTTGAAGCCCACCTGCTGGTGGGGTGAGGCACAGAGGGAAGGCACTGTGGGAGAGGGTGGTGGAATTCTGGGTACCCACAAAGCAGAGCCTGTTTCACCAGACAGGGAAGGGCAGAGACCTGCAGGAAGGACCAGGGGGACGGGCACATGTACTTCCCCGGGTACCCAGAGCTGGTCACTGATGGTCCCTCAAGTGCGGGCATATTTCAGAACCGACAGGCACTGGTACGTTTAGAAAAGTAGTTATTCCCTTTAAAGAAATAAAACGTGAAAGAAAAATAAATCACTTGACAATGAGTACAAACACGGCCTGCTATGCTGACTCCCAGAAAACGGACCACCCTTGCATCCCAACGCCTGCCTCCCCACAAGGGACAGCTCCTGGGGTTCCCTGCCCACCTATTTGGCTTCACGTTGGTGTCTGGCATGGAAACACTCAAGCACAGGGTCCCAGGCTTGCTGCCTGACTGCCGGTCTGGTTCACCCAGCTCTCCCTGTGCTGGCTTCTGGACCTTGCAGTGCGAGGAAGGTGGTATCCGTACACCGCAGCCTCAGATCTGGGAGCAGAAGCATCCACAGACACGGGGAAGGTGAGGGACTCTACCATGACCGGGAGCTGGGGGCCTCTGCCCAGCTAGAGACAGGCACTCCAGGGTACATGACTGAATGGTTGACCCCATTACTGCCCAGGGGTCCTGCCCGGGCCCTTCTTGTGTTCTCTGTTACAGCTAGAGGAAGAGGAGACGGGGCAGAGCCACACACACCTGGAGACTTGTACCTGCCCGCTACTGCACAGCTGTAGGGAGAGGAACTGGAAGGGTCACTAGGTGCAGAATTCTAGACTTATTTCCAACAGCAGCACTTGCCTATTCTTTTCTGCTTCCCAATACTAGTTGTGGCTTCCTGGTCCCAACCACATCCAGGATCCCAACCACATGAGTCCTGGTTACTAAGTAACTGGCAGTAGCAAAGCCCTCTTGTGCTAAGACGGCAGAAACACCAACAGCAAACTGGCTTGTGACATGCCATTGAGTCAGCACCAACTTATAGCAGCATCTTCACAAGCCTGGCACTGTTGCAGCACATCTCATTGGTGGCCTTCCACTTCTCTGCCAACGCTCTACCTTACCAAGCAAGACGCCCCTCTTGAGGGATTGTTCCCTCCTGAAAAGATCCCAAGTACATGAGACAAAGCCTTGCCATCATTGCTTCTAAGGACACTGGCTGTACTTCTCTGGAGACGGATTTGTTGGTTCTTCTGGCAGTGTCTGGTACTTTCAGTATTCTTCGCCAACATTGTACTTAAAAGGCATCCATTATTTTTTCCTGTCTTTCTTATCCATTGTCTATCTTTTGTATGCACATCAGGCAATAGAAAAGGCCATTGCGTGGGCACTCCTTAGTCCGCTAAATGACATCTTTGCTCTTGGACACTTTAAAGAGGACTTTGAAGCAGATTTGTCCAAAGCTGTTGTTTTTGATTGCTTCTTCCATGGGCATCGATTGTTGGATCCAAGCAACATCCTCTAGGTAAGTTATTTTCTGTGTCTAAGGTTCAAGGCTACTTCTAAAGAAGAGGGAAAGCTGGCCAAACTCATTCTAACAAGCACACGCTGAGCTTGCTGTTAGGGTAGGCTGGGTGAGATGCAAACTGGCTAAATCCTGCTAGTGGTTAAGTGTAGTGGGCAGGCCATTGTGAGTGTGTATCATCAAGAAATTTTTGCTTCTTTCATTGAAGACAATGGCAGGTTTTAGTATGTTCTGTTATTAAGTCCTGGTGTGGCACTGTAAGTTAATGCGCTGGACTGCAAAGTTGGTTTGAACTGCAAGGTCTGTGGTTCAAGTTCACCAGTTGCTCCTCAGAAACCCCATACAGGGTTGCTATGGGTCAGAACCGACTCAATGGCATTTACCAACAATTATTCACCTTTTCTGGGAGGCTCACACCTAGTGCCTCTCCCCAATGTGGACCACCCTCCCATCCTGGGGGTGGGGTTGTGGGGTGGGCAGTTGAAGGCACCCAAGCTGTAGCTACCACCTCGCCTCAGGTGAATGAAGCTGGGACCTGGCTGACTCGAAGCCTTCTAAAGAGTATCATCAGCTTGTTGCTGCAGTCGAGTAGGTGGAAACAGTATGGGTACACCCTCAAAAGGTAATGAAGGTCCCCAAATTGAATGGAGCCATGAAGAGAGTGGGTTTGTCTGGGCACCTACTTGTTACGAACAAGAAGTGTGTCCTTCCCTTCCTAGGTGGTGGAGTGCAAGTCTAGAAACTAGCACGTCCACTGGTAGGTGTGGGCCTGGCCAAAGAATTGTCTAGAGTTGGTGCCCACCAAGTAAAACCCCTTGTGACACTTGGCAAGTTACTTCAAGCCACCAGAGTGAGTGAGCACACCAGGCCGGGTGAGCTCACTGGCTTTCAGTGACGCCACTGACTTGTCCTTGTTGTTGTTGTTATGTGCTGTGGAGTCGGTTCCGACTCATAGCGACCCTGCACAGGGTTTCCGAGGCTGTAAATCTTTATGGGAGCAGAAAGCCTCCTCTTTCTCCTGCAGAACAGCTGGTAGTTTCGAACTGCTAACCCTGAGGTTAACAGCCCGATTCGTAACCACTATGCTACCAGAGCTCCTTTGTCCTTAGCTTCCAGAAAACGAGCCAACGCCCCAACAAAGACCTCTTCACATGAGTCCTGTTCGTGAACATTCCATCCTAAATCTCACTGTGACTGATGGGGCTCCAAGGAATAGGGTGACAAAATAATTCCCCATGTTTAATTCAACAGAGACTCAAACCTGAGTTAAACAGATGATACACTTGGCGTAGTCAAGATAGTTTTTAATATTACTTTTTCGCTGTGAATTAGAAATATCACTCTTCAGAGCTGAAAATGACCAGTGAAGGACCATCCGCACTTGGACAATGGCATCACTGATATATACTACAGAGCTAAGCGTGCTGAAAACAGTGTTCAGATAAACGTTAGTGGATAAAAAAAACTGTCTTTGCCCCACACCCTGGTGAAGCCAGGGGTCCCTTACACCCACAAAGTAGTTTTCTATTTGCATTAAGCTACTTAAGTGCAAACCAGTTAAGAAAATATCTATGATCACAGCATGTCTTTCTGAATGACATTTGTTGCTGTTGTTAAATGCTTTGAGTCAGTTCCGATTCACAGCGATTCTGGATAGGATTTCCAAGCAGCGGCTGATAAATTTGAACCGCCGACGTTGCGGCTCAAACTGGCCTTGTGGTCCAGCGCAAATGCATCACGCAGGACTCTGAATGACATCTACACACCAGAAAACAACAATTTTCCTATGAGTGTGTTTCAGTGCGCCCTCCAAACATCTAAGGTGTAAAAAAAACAGTGCAAGAACAAAGACAGAAGTATGGTTTACGACAGCTGGACAGTAAGAATTTCCTGTCCAAGAAATCGATTTTATCTTATGCTACGTATGTGGTGTTGTTGCTGTGTGTCACCAAGTTGGTTCCAACTCATAGGGTTTCTGAAAGTGGCTGGTGAGTTTGAACTGGTGACCTTGTGGTTAGCCGTCCAGTGCTCATCCTACGGCTCCACACCAGGGTTCACACATGCATGTTTTATCCATGTGTGAGACCGAATGTCACACGTCACACATACATGTTTTATCTATGTGTGAGATAGAATGTCACTGACATTCAGAGGAGGCAGCACGAACACTGGTGTCTTATTTATTTTTTTTACTGCAGCCCCACAAAAGAGTGGTTTTTAAATGGAAATGACATCTTTGGGCCGATAGCTGAGCGCTCAGGCCAGAGCCACCTCCATACAGAACTCCAGGTTCACGGAGTCGGGGACAGGGTGGACGAGGGGGTCTCCCTGCCTGTGTCCTCAGGTCGGAAGAGCACCTGGGGTCTGTCTGCTTCCTGAAGTGGGGCTGCTATACTCCAGTCC